TTATATATTTCAAATTTCTGTCAGGATCTTTGGAAAGTCACAAATAAGTTTCCATTGAATTCTATTAAATGAGAATCGCTGAACTTCATTTCAGTTCTTTCTATAAAATCGTTGCAAGTCGCTTTGTTTTAATTTCTTTCTTCAATATGTTAAGGGAATATAAACGATTTTTCCACTACTTTGGGGATTATAATTATTATAATTATTTATTACTTGCTGTGAATTGTGGCTGTTGTTGATTTATTAGATATTAAGTTGTATTCCTTTTACTGCATTATAAATGAGCTATGATTTGGTGTGATTTTAGATAATAGCTCTCAGATAAAAATTAGAAGAGGATTGCCTTCATAGTTGTCAAGCAATTGTGCTCCAAAACTGCACTTAAAATTTTCGCTTTCCAATTTTTAAATAAATTACTATAATTCCTTAATGATATATATAGATATAGGTATATCTTGAATTTATTATCATTATTTATAATATAATTTCATTAACAAAGTAAATCTTTATTGAAAATGTAGTATTTGAAATATGGGAGACAGTTTCTTAGAAAAATTTACCAATTATTTTTCGTATGTATATAAAAGTAATGTAATAATCTGTTTACACTTATAATTGTCGAACCTTAATGTATGTTTTTGTATGGATTTTGTATAAAAAATCCGACTTATTGTTGTATATTTACCGAATTAATTGCGTTAGTGTAAACGTACCGTGAGTTTTTATAAAATTTCATACACATATAGTATGTAGTTGTTTAGTTTCACTAAAGCTATAGATTAGTTATTTGTCAATAACATATTACCACAAAAATGTTCATATGAATAATATTAAAAAACTTAATAAAAAAGATATATTAATAGCTAATATTTTATGGCATTGTCGCACAACTGTGCAAAAAAAAAACTTTGGTTTTATTTTTAATATTTTGTATAATATATATCTGCGTAAAAGGAAGGATTGGGCTTTCTTTGTGAAAACGCATAAAATATAGATACAATATATAAACCGTAATAAATAAAACAATATAAGGTCAAATGTGTACAGCTTACCTTCAAAAAAAGGTGAATATAAGTCGATTTTCTCTTGAAATGTTGCCTCTGATATTATCAATTTGTATATGTTAAAGTATATGTATTCTTTCTTGTGAAATAAATAAAATATTGAATCTTTAAAATCTCAATAAAAATAACAATAATATATTAATATAAGTGAGTTCATTTAATATATAAATACTTTTTTCTTTTTCAGATCAGAACTTGTGGAACCCTTGCTGCGATGGTGTATGATTGTGTATGAAAGTGTTTTAAATTAATACAAAAAAGTGATTTCAACTTAAAAACCTAAAAATTACAGTTAAGCATTATTAATAAAAAAAAAGTATTTAAGTGAATATAAAAATTAAATATAATAGCAGTAATAACAATACATAATTGGAGCATAATAATAGAAACATAAAAGTATATGAAATTGGTCATTGTTCCGCCATTGTTACGGGACTGAACTGAGCAATCGTGAAGACAAGCGAATAAACGCATTTATTCGGTGATTTTAACAAACGTAAATAATATTTAATTAATTAAAAAAAAACGTGAATTTTTGTGAATATTTTTTACCAAAAACATTGTGGTTATAAATAAATGCTTTATGATATATGTGCATAAAAATAATATACGAGTATAAATTAATTGTTTATCTAAAAATCGTTTTAGATATACGTATGTACTAAATTAGCTAAAATATTTACGTATAGAGAAACTCTGATTAAAAATCAGAATTCGTAATTCGGATTTCGAGGATGGCAGTGTCCTGCCCAGAAGTAATGTACGGTGCTTATTATCCATATTTGTATGGCCGCGCTGGACCAAGTCGTTCATTTTATCAATATGATAGAGTGAGTTGTAAAGCTTAATTTTTCTTTTATTTAAAATATAATAAAATGATATTCATTAAAATTAAAAACATGTAGTATACTAACATATAAATTAAATCCAAAACTAAATAAATGAAATTAAAATAGGGAGGATAGTAAAAAATGTGCTAATAAAAAACTATTTTAAAATAGTAAAATTTATGATTTAGAAATATAATTAACTGTAGGTAAAAATTAAAATATCGGGGAAGATCAAATAAGTGTAATATATTAAAAACTTTTCTCTAAGAGTGTAATTGTGTCATATGATAATAGAATTTTTGTTGAAACTACTGTAATGAGCGTTGTCCAAAGAAAATTTATTTATTGAGATCCTGTCACTTTACTTTTACGCTGATGCCTGAACTGAAGATAAACTAAACCACAGATAAAACTGAACCAATGACAAACGACCTTTCCCATTCACTATTAAAGCGTTCAGGGCGTCAAACACGTTAGATTACTGTTCAAGTCACCATCTGTTTCCGATGTTATAGTATAGCTACACGTTACTGTTGAAGACACGTGTGTTATACCCTGTGAAACCTGGATATAGTCACTGTTAAAGCCCTGAATCCTGTTTACCTTGAATACTCATCTGTGTCGCTGTATATATATAAGATTTCTTGAATTAGCCACCACCGCTTTTAATCTCACGATATTTGTATTCATATATCTTCTTGCTTTTGTCCTAAAAATTGTTCCAAAATAGTCAAAATCTATTTATTCATGTCACCAAAAATATATTTCTGTAATGTTCTTTCTTCATGGAAAATGAAGCTGTATTTTTATTTTAAAAAAAAAAAAATAATCCTATTACACCTTCAAACTATAAACCCCTCCAAACTGTTAGTTTTTGTAGTTAAAAAAGTGTTTCATGTACAATATATGGATTTACTTCACTCTAACAGTAATAGTTATGATAATTAAGGTAAAAATTATTCAGACAGAAATGAACTATATCGTTCAAGATGATTTCTTCATGGTATAATGTTTTAAATTGAAAAATTTTTAAGTAAAAAATACGCATATGGTTCAAGTTTTTGGTCAACTGAATTTTATTTGCTTTAAAATGCAAATCTTTATGGAGCTTTGAAGATCTTAAATTTTTATCCGTGAGAATAACATTTAATTCATTGATTCTTATTCACACTTTGGTTCACAGTATCTACATTTTCAGTCGTACCTTTACGTTTTTGACGAGTTGGATTTTAAATATCACAAATATAACTATTTGACCCGACTTTTTTAATAGCATTACGAATAGTAAGCTCTGTAGGTTATTGCAAAAATTTTCATTATAATTGTGTTTATTTAATTTATTAAATATAATTAATATTTAATATATTATAAAAGGTTTTTATAGTTTGATTTTATTCCTTTACAAAAAATAGAGCAAACATGAATATATCAAACTTCATCCTATGTGAATCAATATCGCCGACGGCTTATTTTTTCATATACAGAAATAATGATTTCACCGAGAGTATTGTGAACTATATAAAATTTTCATAAACATTTAAAATCTAAAATGTTAGAATAAATATATTCAGAATATTTTAATAATATTGTTGTGATTACAATAACCAAATAGCTTTTACTAATAAAAAACAGTATTTATTGTAACACAAACTTTTATTATTTTTAATACAACTTTAGAAACACTAACTAATTGACTGACTGACCAACTGACTGAAAAAATCTGAATAAATATTTTTAAATAAAATATTTTTAAATATCAGAGAATCTGACAATTTTAGCCTACTTTGTTGATTCTCACCACACAGCCCCTTCTAGAATTTGACGGCTGCATCACGACAAATTCTATCCGTATTACACATTATTACTACCTCATAAGCCTCAATGGAAAACGCACTATTCTACCCACTCGAGTCACCTTCGATGCTATCTGCTTGTTACTGTCATCATCTAACACCTTGACACTATCTTGGCAACAACCTTCACCAGCTTCATTTGCAAAATATGCTGGTTTCACTCGATCCATGCTGACGTTCATCGTGCGTCCTCTTGCCCTTATTGTTAGAGTTTTCTCACCACGACATAAAATTTCATATGGGCCCTCATACGGCTGTTTCAGTGGTGGCCGCACAGCGTCATCACGTAAGAATACGTGCGTACTGCTTTTCAAATCTTTAAATACGAATGGCTTTTCCGTCATATGACGCGATGTTTGCAATGGCTTCAGTTCGCTCATAGTTTCCCTTAACTTCTTAACAAACTCTGTTTGCGATACTTGCTTCAAATCACCATCAAACACCTCTCCGGGTAAACGTATATTTACCCCATAAATTAATTCCGACGGTGTCGCTTGCAAATCTTCTTTAAACGCCGCTCTTAATCCCATTACAACAATTGGCAAGGCCCTTGTCCATTCAACACTTGATTTACACTTCAGTGCAGACTTTAACGTGCGATGAAAACGTTCAACAAGTCCATTTGACTGTGGATGATATGCTGTAGTTCGATGCCTTCCACACCCCAAAATTTTGGCTAGCTCATCGAAAAGCTTGGATTCAAATTGTCGTCCCTGGTCTGTCGTAATCCTTTTCGGCACACCATAATGCGCTATCCAATCCTTAATTAAAGCCTCAGCCACACATTCTGCCGTAATCTCCTTCATTTTCTTCAGCAATTGAGTTGGTTTCATGTCACCTAGCTCCAATTCTGTCAGCAACTTACGCAGCCTTTTGTGCTCCGATTCTGTGAATTCATAAATTAACCGTTTCTTCAACGTCTCATATTTCAACACCTTCGGTGGATCTCGAATCACATCAACTATGCACTCCAGGTATTTCGGCTCTAAACTTGCTACTACATGGTCGAACATTGTATCATCTTTCGTTATTCCCGCATTCCTGAACTGTGCTTCCATTTGCAGAAAAAAAAGGTCCGGATGCTCTCTTGAAAACATCATCGGCTTAACTGAAACCCGGTATACCTCTTTGTCAGTGCGACTTTCTCCTTCTGCCGGAAAAAAATCTTCTTCCTCACGGTTAGTCATCCTGCTTGCTAATGTTGGGCTTGATAATAACTTACAACTCCTTTTTGTGTCGGGGTCACCAATGTTGTGATTACAATAACCAAATAGCTTTTATTAATAAAAAACAGTATTTATTGTAACACAAACTTTTATTATTTTTAATACAACTTTAGAAACACTAACTAATTGACTGACTGACCAACTGACTGAAAAAATCTGAATAAATATTTTTAAATAAAATATTTTTAAATATCAGAGAATCTGACAATTTTAGCCTACTTTGTTGATTCTCACCACAATATAAAAAAAAATAATATTAGATACTACAAGAAAAAATAAAGAAAAAACGAACCAAATTTTTTGGACGTTGTCACAAAAAATATGTAACAAGTCAATTAATTGTTTGCAAAAAATATGCCACATTTTATTTAAGTTTCTATACGTAATTATTTATTTAAAATGTTCATATAATAAGCTATTACTGTATCAAAGTGATATAAAAAAAATGAAAAGTGGAGGGTCATAAGAAAGTCTATACAAGGGATAGATACATAAAGTCTTTAAAATCTCAAATATAATTTATTTAAATAGTTAAAATTCAGACGTATAATTTCAATTTCGGATCAGTATATTTTGCAATGACCATTACATTTTTTTTATTGGTAATTGCATCCATATAACTCTATACACTTACAAGTCTCCTTTTTAAAAGAATATTAATTTCCTAAAACTTTATTCGGCACACTAAGTTTGCTACAGTGAAAAAAGTTTATCAAATTATACCTTGTTTAAATCACATTACTCATGTGCCCAAATCTCCAGTTATCTACTAATTAGAGCTTCGTCACTGTCAGGGTTACATAACCATTTACATGGTTATAGACCCATACCCAATGTGTATTACCTAATGACAATATCTGGGCACGGTGAACGCTAGTCGCTGGAGATACGCTAGTCGCTGGAGATACGCCAAAACAAAAAGATATATACTAAACTAATAAGTATATAATATATTAAATACATTGTTATATAAGATGAAGCAATAGGGATATAAATAAAATTGGAAATGAAAAAATAAACTATGTAAATAAACAACATTTAGATAATTATAATTAAATACTATTACATGGATCACATTATTCATGTGTCCAAACCTCCAGTTAAACATAAGGTTATAGACCTTAACTTTATACCTTTAATTTCTATATTTCGATAAATATTGAAAAATGGAATTTTCTCCCTCATCTATGGTACTTGTTTGTTTCTTGAATTAAAAAAGACAACCCAAATTGAATGTTGAAAGAAAATATCAAATCTATATGAATAAAATTTATATACAAACCTCATGGCGTATAAGTAATGTTAAACCACTAAATTTTTATTCTTAAAAAGAATATGAAAAATTTTTTTGGTGGAGTTACTACTGTAGTAGAAAAGCGATAAATAATGGATTGAAAATTCTATCAAAGGAAATGTTTCTGTATAACAAGGTCTATTATACACAAAAAAAAATAATTTACAAAATTTTTGAGATATAGTTTTCTATAAAAATTTACAAATATATGGAAGTATCTTTGAATAACGGATTTCAAAAAATACAATATACATAATAACAATTCGAAATGAAGTTAAAAGTTAAAGAACAATTTTTCAAAGAAATTATTTTTGAGATATTGACATTGTTTTGTTGAGCAGTGATCTTTGTCAGTCAGTCTCTTGCTCAGTATTAGAATTATACTAAACTAAGTCTCTCACTTTTACTATGTTTACTTGGTTTCATGTATTAAGAAGTCAATTTCTGAATTTAAGCAAATTAGTACAAAACGTCTGTATCTCAATATTGTAAATACACTCCCTCAGTTTGAATTATAAATATATTATCACTTTAACTTAATTTTGCATATATTATATAGTAATAATTGACATAAGTCTATGAATGCAAAAATCAATTTTACTAAAACCTTAAATTAAAAATAGAAGG